CTTTATTTGTATCATTGTCATATGAGAAGTACTCTTGTCCTTATTTAGAGATATTGAAACTAATTCAGGGCCACAAACTACATGTAGATCTGTACATGAAGTACATGGGAAGTAAAGTTGTTGACACAGGTAATGTACACCAAGGATTGTCATTCATGACCTGTTTGATTGGATAAAGTTTTACGACTTGGCCATTTTTTCCCTCAAAAATCTAAAAAAAACAAGCTTTTTCTAGCTGTTAACAGCTTTTTCTCAGATGTGTCATCCAGTTTTGTTCAAAGTTGGTACAGGGACAGGTAATAATTGTTTACAAGTGCACATCGCATTATATGTTTAACAAGTTATAAATTGTCTCAGAAAAGCCAAATGAATAAATTTTTACCCCACCCCCTAAAATTGTAACACATCAATTCTGAACATTTAATAACAGAATTTTAATACAGCTCATAATGAATTAATTCACTCTGACACAAACTAAGTTCAATATAAGTTTTTAAATTTTTTTCTGAGCGGGGGCTATGACATGACATGTCATGTCTTGTTGTATACAAATCTGTTCCAAATATAGGGTACTTCTTGTATACAAAAATTATACATAAAATGTACAAATTTATTCAGAATTTGTATACTTTTTGCACACAAAAAGTATACTTTTTGCACACAAAAAGTATACATTTTGTCTAATGAATTTTGGTAAGGGTATAGCTATCAGTGAATAAAAAATAAAACAAACTACCGGTATTATTTGTTAAGGGCTGGACCATTTGGAGTCTGGAAGACTTCTGGGTGGGGTACTGTAATTATATTTTCAATTATGCGTTTTGGAAAAAAAAAAGATTCAGATTAGTAAAAAAATTACATTGTTGTTAATTCTCTAATACATGGAAATTTGAGTTTATTTCAGTCCTTATATACATGTACGCAGAAGGGCAAATGCAGAATTAAGTGGGTAGAAGGTTGAATTTTGTAGCATAATGGATACAATGCTCTAATATAAAGTATACAATATAACAAATACATTTAATTTTTTGTCTGTTTTAGTTTACTGAATAAAAGTGCAGCTGTGAATTCGTGTGATGCCTGGAATGCTGCATTGTCATCACAAAAAGACTGTCCATATAGAGTTGTACAAGCTGCAGTTGAAGCGTTTCTTTGTTTCCATGCAGGACACAGTACAGGTATTAGTGTAATTACTTTATACAGGGACTGTGGAGTCACTTACACGTAGGTGTTAATTCTAATGTATATTGTCTGTCTGGCGGCCATTTTGGGTTAATGAATGTGGTTATAGTGCCATATCTCTGACTTGCTTTGATTGATTATGTTCAAATTTTAAATATTCATTATAGATTATGTCATAGATATACAGATATATTGGTTTGACTATCCTATTAAAAATGGCCGAATGAATGGTGACCATTTTAGTGCTAAAAAATCATCAAAATCAAGCATTTCCTGGCTGTTTACAGACAGATTTTGTTCAAACCTTGTACATGTATATACGTTGGACATTATAGGACCTTGATGCACATTATTTTGTTTTACGATCTGATTCAAGATGGCTGAATGGCGGCCATTTTTGTGCTAAAAAATCATAAAAATCAAACATTTCTCGACTGTTTACAAATGGATTTTGTTCAAACTTGATATATACATTAGACATTATGGGACCTTGATGCAAATATTTATTTTTTTCCGGATAAGATTCAAAATGGCCGACTGGCGCCCATTTTGTTTTAATGAATGTGGTTCTAGTGGCATAATTCTGACTTGCTTTGACTGATTATGTTCAAATTTTAAATATTCATTATAGATCATGCCATAGATATACAGATATATTGGTTTCACGATCCTATTCAAAAGAGCCGAATGGTGGTCAATTTTTGTGCTAAAAAATCATCAAATATCAAGCATTTCTGGCATTTATGGATGGATTTCGTTCAAACTTGGTACATACATTAGACATTATGGGTTCCTGATGCACGTCATTTTATTTTTCAGATCAGATTTTGTTTTAATGAATGGGTTTCCAGACCCATATGTCTGACTTGTTTTGACTGATTATGTTCAAATTTTTAATATTCATTATACATCATGTCATAGATATACGGATATATTGGTTTGACGATCCTTTTCAAAGTGGTCAAATGGTGGCTATTTTTGTGCAAAAAAAATCCTCAAATATCAAGCATTACACACAACGTAATTTAGAATGACCTATTTTGTTTTGTATGATGAAAGCCGGCCATGCTGGCCAGTGGTGATACAGGGAATTATTGCCCTGATGTGAGGGCGCACTTCCCATAGCGTTATGAGGCCTGGGAATACAAGGTATCCTTGGGTGGAACTACGTCTATGTTGCTAAGATGTGCTTCACTGTACCATGTATATTTCTATGGGCTCTGCGCGAGCTGCTGTGGAACGCAGGTAGAAGAGTCAGTGAAAACAGCTAAAGTCGAGAAAACAGCACAAACTCGACTTTGAATTAATCCTGAGCAACCAAATTTATATATGTTACACACGTAGGGCTAATCTTGTTACACTGTTCAGGGGAGTCTCAACAACGATCCCAAAGTACTGTTTACTGAAAGTTTTCTGCCTTTGTTTTCACCGTGTTGGTTGCCAGGCAGCAAAAATGCCCGGATGTTTGTCCTGAGAATATGATAAACATACTAATTAGCAAAATATAATTTCTGCTGTGCTGTTATGTTGTTATTTTTTTTTCTACAGGTCCCTTCTTGTCGAAAGATGAAGAAACACAGGCATGGTTGGAAGAAGCTGAAAAGAAAATCAATGATATGGTGAAAATACATTCTAAGCTTGCAGTACATCATGCCTTTGTACTGGCAATGCTTGGCAGGGAAGGTGAATCTCTGCAAGCCCTTAGAAACTATACATATTAGTAAGTTTTTTCAGTTTAAGAAATAAAAAATTTATTCTTAAAAACATAATAATTCATTCAAAAACGCATCTAATCACAATCTAAATGCTGCAGTTCTTCAGCCGTAATATTCACAAATTACTTTGTGTCAACAATTGCAACACATAAGACTTGTCATTCCAGATCTATGATGCAATTTTCATCAAACACCATTATTAAAACCCATAGATGTCTTATTTTAAGTCTGCAACCTTCCAAACTTTATTGTGACCTTAAACTCTTGACTCGCATGTTTGAGATCAGGCAATCTAAACTCAAAATTTCTGCAACTAGACCAATAATGTAATCAAAACTCTTTAACTAGGGTTTTGTACTATACCTCACCACTCCCTATGCTGTATATACTTCCTCATTCTACAATCATAAAAACGGTGTCTGGTCACTGCCTAAAAGTTGGAATTTATGCAAATATATGTAATTTCATAACAATAATGTTAACTTTCCACAAAATCAGTGAAAAATGCAGTAAAAATGTATCGCTCTGTGTTTACCTCCTGTTGGTGAGCAGTAAAAAAAAAACTTCTCCAAAAAAGCTAATGAAATACTGGATCAAATGACCCCAAATTTATACCAATGATAGATGAACAACAAAAATCTACCACAATAGTTTAATTTGAGTTTTCGTTGGTACCTTATTCACGTTAATCAACAAAATACCTGCTGCAGTGGCCATTTCATGCCAGGAAAATAACATTATGTGTGTTATAGAAAACCATATAATACATTACTGTGTAAAGATAATGGTCCAATTCAGGCATACCTGTTCCCTGAAACCAAAACCCAAAACCCAATTCAGGCAGACCTGTTCCCTGAAACCAAAACCCAAAA